TTTTAAGAATAGAAGTGTCAGAAGAAAGATAGTCTAAATTATTAGACCAATAATCAAGTGGTGAATGGATCAAGCATGCATTTTTATCAAAAGGTTTGAAACATATATCTGAAAGGGAATATTTTTTGGCAACAAGCGAAGAGGGCTGATTAGAATACATCACAACAGTATCCATAACTATTCCTTGCAAACATGAAGTCCATAATAATAAATCTTTATCTAAAACACCGACACCGTTTTCCTTATTGTATTTTTTCGAGTTAGCTATCTTTATGACAACCTGCTCTATGCGAAATAAAGGTTGTGTGCCATATTTTTCAACAAAGGTTTCTTTTAATACTTGTGACCTGAATGAAGGTACTTCCCAGAAGAACTCATGACTGACATCTTTCGCGGGGTTTAAGTAATAAGTATCGAAGGTGGGGTAACACAAGGGTAAGAATATAAAGAAGGCTAGAACAATTACTAAAGTCTTATGCGAAGCACAAAAAATTGCATGACGATAAAGTAACTGTGTTGTTACTTTAGAGCCAACTTGAATCCGAGCAAAACGAGCAAATAATGTCATGATAGATTTTACTATATAGATAGTAAATTTTTTTTACTAAAAATTAATTGGATTTTTAAATATTTTGAATTTAATGTCAAATTGATGTCTCGCATCTGTTTGGTGCATAAAACATCACGCAATTTTTGCTTGTTGATTTATTTTGATATGCATAATTTTGTTGAATTCGTGGAACGCAAATATCGTACCAGACCCACATATGCACAAGTTTAGATCCTCAATAAACGGAAATGCAAAACTTCCACGCCCAACTACCACCAATGGTTGTCAAACATGTTACTCGAGCTTGGATATCAATTTCTAAATTAGGAGAAATTAGGGCAGTGTTAACTAGGTTGTCAAGATTTGTCTTCTGATATACATTACTTATGTAATCAGCACAGTCTTCACCTTAAATAAAATCTGCTTCTCATATTTTCGCACTTTTCATTTCTTTCTACTTCATCGTGATGGTTTAGACTACTTTAATATGAGACACAATTTGGTCAATCAATATGAGAACTATGCCAAAAGAAATATGTATCGTTGTAGGGAGAATACAGATCATGTGATACTATTAGAGCACGTGAATTCGTTGATTGACAGTGATGCAAAAGACGAAGGTGGCATTAGAGTCGAGTACCAAAGACGTCAAGGTTCGCAAGTGCGTTAAAAATATTGGTAGTAGCAATGTCTTGATCATCACGCATGTGGAAACTTTTTATTACTGAGGAATTAGTTATCGTCTAAGAGACACGGAAAAATTTGTCCAAATTTGGTATTTAATACTAAGCCTTCCAAAATTATCCAAATTTTTGGGGCGTGCTAACCAATAACAATGTGCATGGAGAGATAGCATTACTGTACATAAAAGGGAAATTGGTACAACGTTTCACGTGACTATGACATAACAAATGTTGGCAAAAACGTGAATGTTGTACCTGCAGCTCTCGCCATTCGATTTAACGCGATCACAACCAAAATTAAATAGGCACGCGTGTCGAATTGGATCTTCCTTCACTTTTAATAACAACGAGGGATCATCATGGGTTTATACGTGAGGTCAATTAATGTTTAAAGACCACTGATTTTTAGTAATCATTAAAAATATTAACTGACCTCATGTTTAACCAATCTTGGCCACATATTTAATTAAAAACTTTGAATAAATAAATTATATGATCGCATGACAGGTTTTACTTGTAATCACTAATTTAATCAGCAACAAAACACGTTTCCATCAACACTCGTTATCTACCCGATAAACTAGGAAGAATAACAAGTGTTGTCAAAATATTTTTTGTTGATTAAAGTGGTGATTATAAGTAGTTAAACCACCGTCATGAACGAAAAACAATACCCTTAGGATTCTCAAGATGCTGATGAATTAAACTAAAGTTGTGAAATAATTTCACCACTATTGGTGAAATTGGTGTTGAATTGGGGAGATTTTGAGAAATTAATTCATCTGCATCTTTATTCTCAAGAATTTCACTCAATGATCGAAGGTAAAATTTAAGTAATCGGTAATTGAATTAACTGACCAATTTGGCCGGTTTATTCAATTACCGACCAATTAAACATTTGTCTTCGATCCATCGAAGGTAGATAAGTCATGTCACAAAAAATCGGCAGTAACGTGATATACAAGCCACTCTGACTATATTTCTGTATTCGTGCTATTAATTTTATACTTATAATTCGGGATCCAAAAAAGTTTTTATTAACTTTTTTAGATCCCAAATAATAAGTACGTACGTACGTATATATAAAATTAATAGCCAGAATATAAAAATATAGTCAGAGTGGCTTGTGTATCACGTCACTGTCGATTTTTTGACATGAGTTACCAGACTCACCTTTCATATACGGATCAGGATATTATTCATTAATCCCCCGTGATCTTGAAATAGTAATCGGGGTTTATATTGAATCTATTACAAATGATTCTGATCCTAAGACCTATGCCATTACCCATGCGAGATCTTGATTTATCCAACAAATAAAATTTGTTCTCGTTAATGAAGATTTCTCGTTATTCATATTACTTGCGTAATCAATTTTGGCTATTAGTATATAATAATGTTACAATAATTTTATGCCTCTTATATAGCTTGATCCATTATTATGCTTTTGAAAAGCGCACCCTATATATTAAAAAAATTTATGTTTTTGAAAAGTAGTCCTGTAAAAATATTGATACTAAATTCTTTAAACGCTTATTTTCAAATTGGGCCAAGCATTCTAGGCGTTTTTTAACAGATTCGGACAAAATATCTACATAAAAATAAGTAAAATTTTAAACTTGAACTGAGTTTAATAAACCAATACAAACGTTATACCTTCATTTTCTTCCCTATCCGTTAAAAGAAACATCAGAGTTGTGATCGCAGAAAGTATTATCTCTTCATTTTTATCATATAAACATTGAATTATTAACGGAACACCATCATTATTTATTATATGTTCTTTATTTCGTTTCTCTAAAAGAGATTCGGCGATCAGTATTTTTAGACGATTGGAAATAAATTGAAAAAGCGATGGAACGGATCATACCTAAACACAAATTACACAATCCTCCTAAACCGAATTCCTTCAACCTTTCATCGGATTCTGTCAGAGTGTCTGCAGCCGTATAATATAAATATATATATAAATGGAACTAAATTTCAAGTTCATAGAAAATAATGCCATACAAACCAAGAAACAAATCGACAACATTCAGTTGCCAAAGCCAATTATAATTTATGGGGTCATAAGCAAAATTGACCAAATTGGCAAGAACCTGATACTTGGCTTCTGCAAGTGATATGAAATTCAAGGTTAAAATCATTCTTGTCATAAGATAATTTTGATAAAAATTGAAATGCCTTGATCCTTTGTTTCCTGATATTCATTAACTAATTGTTGAAGATAATCGAGCCTATAGTAGGCTAATATAAATTATTTGTATTTAAGTAATGTTTTGATCAGTCTAAATACTTTTGACTTACCTCGGAGTACCAGATTTACCCGTTCGTTTTTCCAACTGACGATGTGTTGAAAACATTGGGATGGTTCATAGGCAGAAATTCGTTTGATTGGCTAACTTTTTGTAGACCTACATGTGATTATTAGCCAATCAAATCACACAATTTGCAATACTACGGTATTTTACGCGATATAGAAATGAACTGCAATATACTAAAAGGTTTATTCTAAAACCGATTCTATTTAAAAAAAAAAGCTTTTTATCGGCCATCGGTAAATCGCATTCCTGATTGGACAGAATCCAACGCTTTAGCACTTTAACGATAGTACTGTACATAACGAAATCGCAATACAACTAACACATGACGTTCCCCAATTGTTAATTATGCTTTCGGTACATAGTAAATTACTATTTAACAGTTTGTAAAAATTTTTTGCAAGAACTGCCAGTTCGTTATGGTAGAGTTGACTGTATAAATACTTTGGCACGAGTATTATCTAAAACAATTAATATTATGAGAGGATCCGGGATTAGACGATTATACTCAGTAACAGCCGAGAAGCTTAAAAAAATCTAGTGACGCATTCAATAAGTGTTTGAAGCAATGAGTATTTTCAATATTCTAGTTTTTAATTAAGGGTAGAGGATACCGTAGACCATTTTTCATATGATATGCATGGCAAATTAATACCTTATATAGATATGAGAATATGCCACTAATAAAAATTTTTGAAAATTCAATTAATTTTTATTAAAATTTTATAATTTCATAGATTAAAACATGCTCTTTCTAATGGTATAAATTTTAA